TGCCTCTACTTAGTACTTACCTCAGTCAAAACTGCTGAATTTTTGTATTTCAGAATGTTATTTGAATTATGTTAGTAGCATTTTTATACTCTGCAAAGACTTTAAAGAAATTTCCATTACAGCTAGTGAGTTTAGTGTCTCTTTTGGAAGGAGGAAAAGAAACTAACATTTAGTTGACAGGGCCATGCAGTGTTCTAAGTACTTTCATGTATGTTATTTAATTAAACCTACCTGCCAACTCTGTGAAACAGGTATATTATCTCCACTTTATACATGAGGAGACAGAGGATTTAGAGATGTTTAAGTAATTTGCCCATGGTTACACAGTGAACTAGGATTTGAACTCAGGTCTTTCTGCTATCAGGGTCCACAACACCACTCTGTTATACTGGAAGGCAGGATAAGATAGCTTAGTATGAGTTAGTGTTTAAGAGCGTGAACCCTAGAGGCCACCTGCCAGGTTTCTGAGTCTAACTTCCACATACTAGTTGGGTTACCTGAGTTAATTTAACTTATCCTCTCTGTACCTCAGTTTCCTCATCTGTAAAGTGGAAATAATAATACCTACCTTGTAAAGTTGTGAGGTAGAATTAGATAATGTATTTAAAAAGCCTGGCACACAATAAGTAGTTAATAATTATTAGTTCCTGTTATAAAGGTATTTCCAATAGCTTCTCTAGCCTTAGCTCAGTTGATTGTAGAGGGTTGTGCCACCTGAATTGGGGTGTAAATAACTCAGCACTGCCCACCACCACAATTTAGAGAAAACAAACTTAATGTATGTGTTATTTTAACTCAACATTTCAAGCATTATTTTTGTGTGCAATATATAAGACCCATCTTGTGCTGTGGAGCTGTGGAAACTACTCTTTGGAACTCCATCTTAATTTTCCATAATGAAGGCATCAATACAACCCTTAATCTTGGGTGTGGTTTTGGCTTCTCTGGAACCTAAAGGAAAAGGAAGCTAGTCACTGGCATCAGGCCCATAGGGACTTAAGAATCCCCTCTTGTTTTGTCCGCCAGGTCTGGCCCCAGTGCCTGAAGAAAAGGTGCACTTGTCCTGTTGGCAGTCAGGTGCCTGAGGATCAGACTCTAGGTTAATTATTAATCATAGGTGACCTTTCAATGGTGATTTATAGTTCAGAGAGCTTTTAAACACAGTATTTCCATTTAGTGGAGTATAGTCCACAAGCTTTAAGTAAGAATCTAAAGATAAGCTTGTTAAATGTGCAGATTCCCAAGTTCCAACTGCACAGAATCTGATTCAGTAGGTCTGAGTTTGGGCCTAGGAATCTGCATTGTCATCACTTGAGAAAACATTGTATTGCTTAGATCTTGAAAAGATAAAGGGGTGGGGGCCGGCCCGTGGCTCACTTGGTAGAGTGCGGTGCTTATAACACCAAGGCCCCGGGTTCGGATCCCATATAGGGATGGCCGGTTCGCTCACTGGCTGAGCGTGGTGCTGACAACACCAAGTCAAGGGTTAAGATCCCCTTACCGGTCATCTTTTAAAAAAAAAAAAAAAAAAAGATAAAGGGGTGAATAAAAAGAATTAGGGACTGCATTTTTTTTTTTTTTTTAGTATGTGAAATTATTCTATTTGTCTCTGTTTATATTTAATGATATTTTGGGTATCTTAACTCCCTTCTTACAGGATATCCTTGAATACAACATTCTTTTATCACTTGTATGAAGCCATTTCTAGCCAGTCCCTAAATGTTACTGGGGGTTTTTTTCCCCTAAGATGTATCTGTTATAGTCATTCCTCCTGCTCCCTTTATACTGTTATCCCCACTGGACCACCCACTCATACCTGGATATATCAGTTAGCTTTTGCTGAGTAATAAAACACCACTCCCAAAACACAGTGGCTTGAAATAACAACCATTTATTTCTCCAGTGATTCTGTGAGTCACTAGTTTGGGGCTGGGCTCAGAAGGGCAGCCCTTCTGGTCTTGCCTGAGCTCATTCATGCATCTGTGGTCAGCTGGGACAGCTGTTCCACGTGGCCTCTCATCATCCAGTAGACTAGTCTAGGTTAGTTATTCCCATGGGGGCAGAACTTAACAGAACAGGTCTAAGTGAAGCAAAAGGGCAAGCCCAATGCACAGGTGCTTTTCACACTTCTGCTATCTCACTTTTACTAACATCCCGTTAGTCAGAGCAACTTGTGTAGCCAACCCAGCAGGTGAAAGAATACTTTTTTTTTCGGTGGCTGGCCAGTACTAGTGGAGGAATAAATAAACTCTGCTTCTTAATGGGAGGGTCTGCTATGTCACGTTGCAAGGGCATAAACAGAGGGAGAATCGTTGTGCCCATTTTTACAATCCACTGAATTATCACACTCCTTGCTTGCTAGCTTTTCCGGCTATAGACTTTTGCTGCTCCAACCCGTCCTGCTCCCTGCTTCCACATTTATTTTCCTTAAACACTGCTTTCGTTATATCTCATCCCTGTTCACAAACCCCCCAGAGACATCCTCTTTTTCCCACCTTATCTGCTATAAACTACTCCGCCTAGCTTTCAAATGTCTGCCTGAGCTATCCTGACCTAAAAGCAGAGGCTGTGGTATAGAGAAAAAGGACTAGCTGTAGACAGGGCAGAATTAAGATTTTGGTTGAGTGCACCTAGACATTTATTTCCTATTACTCCCTAAATAAACCCTCAAACTGTATTACTATGAACTTCTTAGTTTCCCATGGAACATCCCATGTTTACATCACTCTTTGTGCTTTCATGCCCCATGTCCTTTCAATCTGGAATTGTCCTTTGCTTTCTTTCCTACTTGTTTTAAATTCTATCCATTTCCTGTCTTTGTTAATCTCTGCCATCCAAGTTGGCACTTAATTACATTATCTCTGGTATAATTCAGTGTTTCAATTGTTAGTTTTATCAACTAAATTATAAATTCATTGAGGGAAGAGACTGTATTTTATACATCAACTAAGCACATAGTAGGTATTGAGTAAATATTTGTAAGTTAATCCTCCATCTCATCCCAGATCATAAAAAATAGGAACTGGCTAAAAACTTTTAAGACAAGTAGAGGGATAAGAGTTCTTGGGCAGAGGTAGTGGTGTGGTGGTGGTGGTGGTTGGAGAGATAGGTGTTTTTGTTAAGGGCACCCAAGGTAGTATGTACTCACCAGGCGGATAACCTTTGGAATGTATCTACAAAATTGGTTTGCAGTCCTTCCCATGACACTAGTGGTGGTTGGAGAGATAGGTGTTTTTGTTAAGGGCACCCAAGGTAGTATGTACTCACCAGGTGGATAACCTTTGGAATGTATCTACAAAATTGGTTTGCAGTCCTTCCCATGACACTAGTTCTCTTTTGCTTATGTCCTGCAGTTTTCATCATTTTCTTCTGGAAGGCATCACCATGACCCTGACAAAAGGTTCCTTCACCTACTCCAGTGGGGAGGAATATCGTGGTGAATGGAAGGAGGGTGAGAAGGACCCCTGAGGAGTATCCAGTGATAAATACTTCATTTGACTGAAGGACAAATATATCAGGCTATAGAGGCCACTTTATGGATCTTCATTTCCACCTCCAGGGTTTAGTTCCGTATAGTGCCTTTTCTTTATTCTACTTTAGGATTATATAAAGGAACTAGAAAATGGTATTGTTAATCCAACCTCCAGAAATGAGTTAAATCTTTCCACTTCTGAATTTTCAGTGTTTTAATATCCTTTCATCCTTTAGTGGTATTCTTTGGGAATTTTTTAAATAAATGCTAATGTACCCAGCAGAGTAGAATGAATTACTTTAAATGCCCATAAATTAGAGCATACAGAATTGATTGTAATTACTTGGTTCTAGTGAATCTTAAGAAATTAAGGAAGATCTGGAAATTAGGGCAGACACTCAAGAGCAAATGGCATTTATTGCCTTGAATTTCCTGTGACAGCTCATTACATTTGAAATTATCTGTTCATAGGAATAGTAAAATTCTTCAGTGCCTGAGACTATACAGGAAGCAGTTTAATGATTTTCAATTTGGAAACAGTCTGGCCATTGTAAAGTCTCATGGGTCCAGTCCTAGCAAGCCAGGAACTGCCCCGAGAAGAGTGGACTTTCTACACTTGTGCGGGTGAAGGGCAGTCATGCTGTCACCAGACATGTGCCTCATTCTTTTCACATTAGATCCTTGCAGCTAATAAATTCTTGAGCCTTGAGAAATTATGCAGATGTGATGTGACTTTGTCTGCTTCCATCCCAAGCCTTTTCTTCTGCCTCCCAAATACCTGCTGTCTTTAATATGGCCTTTTAGAGGAGAGACTTCCTTAGGCTGTGCCTGGCAGTCTCTGTCCACCAAAAGGACTCCCTCATGCTCTGTTTGAAGGGCATGATTGCTCCCCCATCATCTTGCTCTGTTTTCTAGTCAGTTTCATGGGTAAGCACAGCACTATTGACATAACAAAGCTCAAACCAGTGCTGCCAGTCAGGCTGTTAGGGTGGTCCAGTAGCTTCATGGTGCTAAACGGTACTTTTTTCTCAGAGGGGCAACATAGGCAAATGTGGAGGGCTCTGAGTCAGGCTGCCTGCTGCTTTTGCATTCTTGCTCTATCACTTAGAGCTCTGTGATCTTGAGTAAGTTATTTAGCTTCTCCTTGCCTTGATTTCCCCATATGTTAAATGGGAATGACAATGTGCCTACCTCATAAGGTTGTCATGAGAATTAAATAAGGTGATAAATACAAAGTGCTTAGAAGAGAGGCTGGTGCATATAAATGTTAACCTTTGTTACTTTTAAGTGTTCTCTTATCACTTATACTTAGAGAGACCTCCAGATCTGATGGTTGTGACTTAAGATGGGAAAGAGCCAGGCTTTCCAGATGCCTGACTCTGGTTAATAGTTCTCTGCCCTGCTAATGTCACTGCTTCTCTTCTTTCCTTTGTGGGTAGAGTGATGGAAGGTAAGGATGCTAGATGAGTGAGAAAGGACCCTGAAGCTGTCCCATTCCAACTTAACACCTGTCCTTCTCTTTGCTTAGGCCGCAGACATGGTTTCGGTCAACTGATGTTTGCAGATGGTGGCACCTACTTGGGACATTTTGAGAATGGGCTCTTCAATGGCTTCGGGGTACTAACCTTCTCAGATGGCTCAAGGTGGGTATTAGGTCATTTTCTCAGCCTTAAATTAGGGAGGCTCTTGTATAGAAATGGAACATTGGTAAATATCTGGTCAACCCTGAGTTTGTCCCAAGCCCTCCAGAAAATAGGCAAGAAGTAAGCAGTTCTTACAGTGGTTGTTTTTAAAGAGATATAAAATTTGAAATGTCAAGGAGGTGAGTGACTGTCCACCCACCTCCACTCATTTCTTTCCTTGAGATTAGGGCCTAATCTCATACATACTCTCTGACCTGTCTCTGCTGGTTGGGAATGGAGTGGGTGGAGGTGGGGTGAGCTCTGAGACAAGTGGAATCAGCTTTGCTCCTTGGCATTATTAAATAACACAGATGAGCATCTGCTTGACCCAGTTAGCTTGTACAGCTAACTTCACCACTAATGGCTAACATCCTGGTGTTTCTGCAGGTATGAGGGGGAGTTTGCCCATGGCAAGTTTAATGGCGTTGGAGTCTTCATTCGACATGACAACATGACCTATGAGGGGGAATTTAAAAACGGCAGAGTAGATGGTTTTGGTAAGTTATAGCCCAGTGGGATGGGTGACTTATATGAGCATAAAATGGGTAGAAATATACCTTTTTAATTTTAATTCTTCTGTAGATGGCCAACAATCCATAGTGATCATGCCCTAATGCCTATCCATTGATCTCACCAATAGAGTACCCCTGGGTAGAGCTATGAGTTTTTCTCTTCTTTGGCCACTATGTATCAAGCTGATCTCTGAGACCTGATCTCTGAGCCACTGTCACCCCCATGTTTTTTCTGTCCTCCTCAAAGGCCTGCTGACTTTCCCTGATGGTTCTCATGGAATACCCCGCAATGAAGGCCTATTTGAGAACAACAAGTTACTGCGGCGTGAGAAGTGTTCTGCGGTCGTCCAGCGGGCCCAGAGTGCCTCTAAGTCAGCCAGAAATCTCACTGCCTGATGGGGCACTGGGCACCAGCTGACAAGTGCTGGGTAAAGTTGATGCCCCGGTTATTCACTTGGGTGAACAAATGAACCAGATCTAAGATGAGATGAGAACCACTGTGGACCAGAGCCTTGTGAGGTGCCCCATCACCTGCCAATCAGGAATCTTATCACAGAAAAGTGCTGAGGCTTCTGGCCCACAGAGCGTGCAGCAGTTGTTAGCAGTTCTCTTTCCCTGGCCCTTGTGTGCTAGAGGGCAGAGAAGCCGCCTTTTCTGACTTGTTGGTGCTCTCTGTTCCTAAGATCTTGGTTTACCCGGTGCAGACCTGCTACGGCTTTCTACTTTATTTTCTGCCAAGTGATATAGAATCTCTTCATTCTGCCTACATTTGGGACAGATGATCGCAGCCCCAAGTTACGGCCAGTGCTTTGTGCCACCTTGGAGATATAAGGAAAAAGGTAGGGGTGGCTTAGACAATACAGTAGCCCTGTGAAAGTCAAGGCCAGAGCTCTTCTGTATGTTACCGCCTCATTCCCTGCTGGGTGGAATCATGGCTTCAGGCTTCCACTTTGATCAGACTGGTATTCATCTCTGCTTATCCCCCGTGAAGGATTCAGTAAGAGTGCTATTTCCTTCTCCCTTCCTTAACTGAGTTATAGCAGATAATCCCCACTTGTGCCTCTCTCCTTCCTTAGACTTCAGACAGGATCCTTTTCTGGGATAGTCAAGAAAGAAACTGATATAAACAATAATCTTATAACTTGTATTCATTTCTTACTCCAGGGCAAAGGGCAGACATATCCAGGCCACTTGAGGCCCTGGCATGGAGTGAACTGAATCCTTAGGGGTGGTTTGGACTGACACAGTTCTTTCTCGGTGGACCAGATCAGACTCACCTCAACCCCTTGGGGTTTTGATAGAATTGTATCTATCCTAAGACTGCAGTGAACTAAAAGTCTCTGTGTTGGGTTCCCTCTAACTCTTCTACCGTGAGCCTTGGCCGTGAAGCCTGCAGTCAGATCTTGACTGATAGGATCCCTGCACAGTTTCTCACGGAGGCCTCCAGGTACCCGGTGACCCAAACATGCCCCCCGCAACCCTCTTTCCTCACACTGAATGTCTCTTTAACAGCAGATTGTGGTGGAAATTATAGCCGTGTGCCTCTATTTATTCTCTGAATTGTACTGTAGAAACAAGTGTTTATGAAGAATAAACAAATCACCAGAACTGCCTCTACTTAGTTTGCCTGAATTTCTTGTCCCACATCCTCATGAATATCAACCCATTTGCTGTTTCTCAAAGTTAATTAGGGGCTTGGTACTGTGTCCTTTACTATATAATATCATCTAATTCTCAAAACCTCTGCAGAGTAGGAGGTATGAACATTTTTTTTTTTTTTAAATCACACAGGCTCAGGTTACCCAAACTAGTAAGTGGCAGAGCTGATGGAATTTGTATCACAGTCTTTCTGATTCCAACTCTCTTTCCACTGGACTCCTCTCACCCTGACTATCAGAGTGCCCAAGTCCTGACACCAATTATTGCCAGACCTGCTTGGTTGTCTTAGGCAAGTCAGCTTCTGCTTGGGTTTCCCTCTCTCTGCAAGGAGCAGAGTGGTGGGACACTCACCTGCCATGCTACCCTTTCACATGTGTGATCTCATTCAGTCCTCACCACAGCCCTGGGAGGAAAGTGCTGTTGTTGTTATCCCTGTTACAGATGAGGCTTGGGCAAGTTAAGTAGTTTCCCCAAGGTCCTGTAAACAGTAACAGGCAGATCCCAGGACTTAAACCCAGCCTGTTTAAGCCCAGAGGCTGAGCTCATAACCAGGACACTGGCCTGCTTCCAGTGACAGCTAGGGGTGCTGTCTTTCCCCCAGCCCTAAACCTGATTCTCCTGTGAGCCCAGCTCCTTGGAAGTTGCCTGTGAGAGGAGACTAGGGGCTAAGCCCTAAGCTTTAGTGTCATCCAGATGCCCAGTGTCAGTTGAAAACTGACATCTTTTATATTCTCTCTTCTAGCCTCTGCTCTAAACGAGGATCTATTTACCTCATTTACCTCTCTTTTTAACCTTACACTTCCTTTTTTTTTCTTTTTTTTTGGTGGCTGGCCAGCACAGGAATCTGAACCCTTGACCTTGGTGTTATAACACCATGCTCTAACCAACCAAGCTAACCAGCCAGCCCTTAACTTTCTTTTTTTTAATTTATTTTTTATTGCAACATAGTAGATTGTACATATCTGTGGGATACAGCACTGAATATCAATACCTGTGTACAATATGTGATGTTCAAATCAGCATAATTAGTATAGTCCACATTATACAATGTAATGGATTTTCGTGGCCTTTTACCTGTTGCTTTGCCCCCCACGGATTTGTCACCCCACTTCCCCTGGGTGACAGAGCCGCAAAGGATTACCCAAAACTCATCTATTCTGAGCAGTGAGAGACCCTGAAATGGTTAATCTCCCCCAGAACCCTCAAGGGAGAGGCATCCCTTCCTTGGGAAATTAACCCCGAATTGGGGTTCTCTTCCTGCATTTATTTTTCAGACCAGGAAGTTACAGGAAGAGAACATAGGTGGGGTTATAGTTTAACAATATAGGTTGGTAACTTTCAGTAAAACTAGTCAGGTGATATTCCATTAGACAATTAAGTGATCCACCAACAAAAGCTTGATCTAGTAAACATTCCCTTCTGACAGCAATTTCTCGCAAATTTTCTTACTGTGGTCAATTGCCCACCCTCCCCCGCTCTTCCCTCTGGCTCCTGGTTCATGTGCCTTGGGGCATCAGAAAGCATCCATAGGAGAGATACAGGTAAGAAATTGCTCCTTCCCAGTAGGAAGGGCTCTAGAGACTCAGAGTTTAGTATCCAAATGGGATAAGTCACGGGGCTATGAGAATAGGAGTTGTGCCTGGAAGCGCCTGGTGAAAGACAACCTCGAGGACTGAAGGGAAAGAAGCCTGTAACCCCCAAGCCCCCCATGCCCCCTCTGCAGGAGGCTGAGATGGGCTCAGCCCAGGAGTGTCCCCTGCTTGCCCTCAGAGCCAGCCATTGCTGGTGAAATCCATGTGCAGTGCCTCCTCCTCGGCGGGGCTCAGCTCCTGCAAGGGGGCACGGCAGGGGCCTCCGTAGTAGCCAAACCAGTCCATGGTTTTCTTCAGCCCTGGAATCCCGAAGCTCCGGGTCACCTGAGGAGCAAGGCCTGTTAGAAGACACTGGGGAACCCCCTGCATACACATTTCTGGGACCCAGACATCCGTCACTTTAAAAAAATTGGGGTTCCCACCCTCTTTTCCCAGTAATGTAACTCTACCAAATCTGTGACACCTGCAGTAGGTTGGGACTCCAGATTTAGAGACCAGAAAGCAGGTCAGTAATAACAATATGCAAAATCCTCAGATTGAGGAAGAAAAGTGCCTCCTTTAGTCTTAGGAGAAAAATCCACCCCAACAAGGAGAGTGGCATTCAGTCCTCAAGCTGGGATAGGAGAGGGCAGCAAGGCTGTGGATCTGGGCACTAGATCATCACCAATCTGCTTCGCAGATCCGTGGAATCTGACCCAGGGCACCCAGGCCTGGGAATTCAAGTAGGGGAAGGGTCTTTAACAGCCTCAGGCACAGCCCAGACCCCTTGCATCAGGTTTCCTCCACCCGTAGCTCCTCCCCAACTCTAACACTAAATGCTCCCACAGGAAAAACTGCATCATTGCCCAAAGACGTTCCATTGTGTAACTGTGTGTCATTTACTTGTCTCTGAGTAAGTTTTGAGGAGGCTGGACAACATGATCTCTAAAGCTTTTTCCATTATAATGGGAGACTGGGCTATTGTCATAATTTAAAATCACACATGAAATTTTACAGAATAAATGAAGCATCAAGTTTCTTTGCTTTGGGTAAAACAACTGGTTATTTCATTATGATCAGAAGTTTTAGATGAATCTGATACCTAAAAACTAGGAAAGTAATCATTATTTAATAAAGTTTAATTTGGAGGGAAGGTAAAACCTTAGAAATACGGATTTCGTGAAAAGTAAAAATCATGAGGTTGGTTGGGGTAAAAAGGTTGGGAACCATCGATAAATGATTGACTAGTTACTATTCACCACTAGAGGCCAGTAGGCTTTAGCAGACATGGAATTTTTTCTTCGAATGGGTGGTAAGCCACCCTCCTTTCCAGGCCTACCCCACCCATGATGTTCTAGTAGCTGGCATTTTTACCCAAAACCAGAGTAGTTGGGAAAGACCTAGGGTGGAGGATGGAAACAAGAGGTACCTAGAGAAAAGCTTGCTCCTACCATGGGTTTCTGCCCACTCTTCAGACCCTGAGAAGGGATCGAATGCTTTGGTGGTAAAGACCACAGAAAGTTCTAAATATAGCTGGGGGCAGGAGGCAGTCCGGGTGGAAATGTGGAGGAAGAACATCGTGTTCAACCAGGGCAGGGCAATAGAGTGACATCAAGCTACTCCTGGGGTGTCTGAGCCTACAGCCCAGGCAGCAGAAAGGTGTTCCAGGCATTTCTGAGTGTGTGCCCAGAGCTGGCACATGAGAGGGCATGGAATGGGGGGGGCAGATGACACGCACACAGCTAGGATGGCAGCTAGGAATCCTCTTTTCCAAGGGGCAGCCCAAATTGCTTCATCTGTAAAATGAAGCGATAATAACACCTACCCATAAAGATGTCCCCAAGGGTCAGATGAGAAAATCACTGCTAATATTAGACCAGTCCCGAAGAGCCCCGAAAGCTCCTCCTTTTCCTGTCTTGGTAGTACGAAAGTTCTAGGACCTTCTCTTTCACAGGTAGATGGGAGTGGGAGAGCAGAGGCCCCACCACAGTGGAATGTCCAGTATGTACAGGGCAGCCTGGTTCTAGGGCTGGCCTGTGGCTCACTCGGGAGAGTGTGGTGCTGATAACACCAAGGCCACAGGTT